ACCCTGCCATAGGCTAAAATTTCAGCTCAAAAGAATGTTTCCTTCTCGAGATATTAAAGTCTCAAAAAATCACGTATATCCCACGAAACATACTTTTTTCAGACTTTAATATCTCGAGAAGGAAACATTCTTTTGAGCTGAAATTTTCAGGGTATTCTAGTCACTAATAGACCTCTCTGTGGGCAAAATCTCAGGTCGAAATATCGTCATTTGATTTATTCCTACATACCCTGCCATAGGCTAAAATTTCAGTATATTGCCTATAACTCGGGACAGAAGACCTAATGGCACTTATCCTTTTGGGGTTTTTCATACCTCACTAGGACCTACTTTATGCATGGGGTCCGAACTGAAAAGCTTGGTATCAGTTGGTGAAGTTCCCTCGTAAGTCTAAAATAAAAAATACGGAATAATTGCCGATGTCAATTAACAACACATCCTACTGTTAACGGACCCTTCCTATTTTTGGTCAAAGAATTTTTCAAGCGAACGTGAAACTACATTCTGTATGGGGATAGATATTACGCGCACGTTTGCAAGTTTTCTAGTTATCAATTTTTAAAGCATAAATGATTATTGGCTCTCAGAGGAGTATATAGCGAAGAGTGTAACAGTTGATGCAGTTATGATTCGACGTGTTTCATAGCAGCCAGCAGCGATGTTTTTGGAGTTGGAACGTTTGTAAGAGCGATACGGTATTGACCGCTATTTGAATCAGTTTTGATATCTTTCACCGAAAATAAAGTGAATGGTAACAGCGTTACTTCCTCTTCGTGTCCGTATGCAGACAGACAAGGTAATGTTTCAGATATTCTTGTTAAATTGATTGCTGTCGGACATTTTTGAGGAAAATTGAATGTCAGTAAGACCAAATGACGATCAGTTTGTTTGTCTTTCGATGCTGCCCCCTCCGCAAATTCTTGTGCCACTTTTTTTTTCAGTGACATTGACTGAACCGTGCGCGTCTCTAGAACATAATCGTCTCTGGTGAGTGCCCATCGGTAAGCACTGATGTCACTTTGGCTCATTGTACCGCCGCGATAAGCCCATCCTTGAAACGCACGATCTTGCAGCTCATTTAAATGAAAATAGAGTAAAACCGTGAATGAATCGGCTTCAGTCTGTAAAGTATTATAGAACGGTGTTTCAAGTGTGTACATGGTTAATAGATGACTAATACCCATTTTGTTCAAAAACTTCTCCTTCAAGTCGCTTATATATTTATAATGTTTATGTTGTTGAGGAACTGCTGTTGAGACCAGTTCATTGAGAGTTTGAGTGCTCTCTATCTCTGTTCGATTCTTCACGATTTGCTTCAGTGGATTTGATGAATTTGCCATGGCAATCATGAGCTGTGCTTCGTGAGCGGAATCTGCAGAAATATGTCCTTTGAACCAATCGTCTGGTATGCCATCTTTCATTTCGACGTTATCTCCTTGTTCAGTTACTAACTGAAACGAGTTCGTCAACTGTTCATCAAGAAATCTATTCGAAGTTGGTCGATTGAAGAGTACCCGAATTCTATCGGTGGCTGCTTCTTGAAAGGCTGTCATTCCGTTATAATTGAGGACTGTTCGCGAGCAACCGCTTGCAAGTAAAAGGCGAACAATACCTGGCTGATCATAGAAGCTGGCGGCGTGTAGTGCGGTACTCCCGTTTGGTTCAATTTGATTAACTTCTTCATATGTCAGATTTGGCAACATCTTCTCTACAGTTGCCATATCACCATTACGACAGGCCCAATAGAATGCACTTGCTTGACCAGGATTACGTGCAGGTATCAGATTTCTGTTTGACATGCAGACTCCCATAATAAATACTTGTCAACCTGTTTCGAAATAACCTCTTCTACAAAAATAAGTGGTATTGAGCAGAGGGAGACAAGAAAAAAGACATTTACATTATAAAGACATGATATAGTCCCTTTTAAAGGGAGGGTGTGTTAAGTTATTGACTCTGGTAACCGAGCTACAGGTAAGGTGCCGGCAACATGAAATTCAAGTTAAATTCTTTTTTCATGATTTTTCTGCACCATTCCATAGAGTCAGAACTACTGATCATGAAAAACTAATTTTTAACTCCATAAAATGCCTTTTTCCGACTAAAAAATACAAAAAACTCAGAAAGTGTCTTTTTCAGAATGTGGAAAATTTCCTACTTTCACCTTCTTGTACGGTTTTGAAACTGTGTTTTTCAGATTCAGCATCAAAACTCAATACAAAAAGGGTGTGGGTGTGGACTGATGTGAGTAAGGGTCTGGTGTGTGAGTTCTATATCCATCACACACCCACCCTCAACTGAATAACTGAATAGTCGAATAGTTGAATACTAAAATTCAGCTTTCGAGTTTGACACTACTAATCTTTTTTAGTTTTAAGTAAATAGGAAACACGAAAGAGTTATCTGTTGACAAAACTCAACTAGTAAATACCGAAAGTCCAACAGATATCTAAAATCATGAAATTTCGAAGTAAAATATTTCTGTCAAAACCTAGAATAGAATGGAAGAGGTAAAAAAACAGTTAACAGTAGAATAAAATATTAAAACTGAACGTTTGAAACGCGTTAAGCGACGAAAAAATATGGTTTTTTGTCATGGGAGTTTATAACTATGTTGCAGGTATTTGTGTTTATTTAATCTTTTCTTTAAAGAGAAAGAGATTTATGAGCAAGACTAGGGTATTAGATAATACTTAAGTAACTTGGTATAGGCATGTCATTAGCACCTTAATACCATTTGTCATTGAAATAAAATAAACAATTTGGTATGTTTATATAAGGTGGCCTATAATTTTGGCATACCCTGTGTTATTATCAATAGTCATAAAAATGAAAAGCTAACTAACATGTCTAGTCATCCTATTCCCCCTGTCTTCCTAGCCCCTCTCGCCTCTAGCTCCCCTAACACCCGTAGCTATCTTAGCCACTCTAGTATCTGTAGCTCGCTACTCATTCTGTCATTGTTATCACTACCACTTCTTCAATGTTCTGTATGCTGTTACCATAACAGTAAAAGCAGAGATGTCATGTGTATACATGTAAGCTATTGTAAGTAAACAGATTATAAGATTAGCAATTAGAAGAAAAGGAAGAACGAACAAGAAGGGATCAGAAAGGACAGAAATGGAAGTGCGATATGTTCAATGTTTTTCATGGCAACCGTTAGGACCTATTAGAATAAACGGTAAACAAGATGTTTCCATATTTTGCATGGTAGCATTTTCCTAGCCTTCCTCATCCCACCAGTTTTTCAGTAAAAACAGATCGATTTTTTTTCTAAAATTTAATTTAAAATATAAAAAACCACAGACTCACCAAAAGACAAAAAAACAACATTACACTTACTACTGAGTTATGAAATAGTTTCCTTCTCTTCGTACGAGAGTAACAATATTTTTTTCTGAAAAAGTAAATGTAACAATAAGAGAGGAGAGCAAAAAATATTCCTTCCGATCTTGAGAATGTAAGAACGATGATAGACAAGGTTCTTTTCCGCGAAAGAGTCTATGAGAATAGGAATAAATAAGTTTTTTTGTGGAAGGAGAATGCACAAATGAGTACAAAGTTCTTCCAAGAAAAAGAATATAATTATGATGATGAACAAGTTTATTTTCCGGGAAAGATTCTGTGAAGATGCGAATGAATAAGTTTTTTTCTGAAAGGAGAATATAACTATGATGGTGGACAAGTTTTTCCTGGGAAAAAAAGTGTAAGAACACAAACAAAAAGCAGTTTTTTCACGAGGTAGAATGGTGATAGACAAGTTTTTTTCCGGGAAAGAGTCTGTGAATATCGGAATAAATAAATTTTTTCTGGGAATAATACTGAAACAAACTTAAGGGCGGGTGTGTAATGGATACAATACTCATACCCACACCTTCAAGAAAAAAGTTATTCATAAAAACTCCAAAATGCCAAATATTAAAAGTTGAAAAGGAACAAGATTCATATCGCAGACCGACGATCGATAAAAGATCATAGCGACGTTGTTTTCTCATACGCCAGAAGCGTACTATCAAATTATCTCGACAATAACAGGTGCTTCCGCTAGTAAAATATATTTTGATGGACGAGTAACTAGAAATACGAGTTCATCGATGATTATTCTCGAAAATTTTGTGTCGAAATCTTCTGTATGTTGCAGATGTTTATGTGCTGAAGTGAATGTGTACGTCATGTCATTCTCACGTCCATTCAACCGTATAAGTATTTTTATAATCGTTATTTCGACCACGGATCGAATTCAATATAAAAACAAGTGGGTGTGGGTGTGAATGCGGGTGGATAAGAAGATTGCCCACACCCATCCATACTCACACTCGCACCCTTACTGACAGTTGAACGTGCGAGAAGGAATACTGTTTTTCTTATGTGTGGAGCTGTTTTTATATGTCTAATGGATGTAAATAAATGGAAACTACTGTTGACCTTTCTTTGATGAAGAAATTGTTGATTTTTCTCCGATGAAGCCAGAACAGTCTTTCTCGTCTTTTATTGCTCCAGTTCAACTTAATAGAATTGTGTAAATAGAGAATTAACCGCAGCGTCTTTAAAAAGACGAAAGAATGAGGGTGAAAGTATATCTGAGAGATGGCTATACTACTCAGACTCACACCCACACCCACCCTCAAGATCATGCTGAAAACATTGACTATCGTCATTATGTTGTATATGCTAAACGTATAAAAGAAGTGATTTCAGGTCTAAAGGAAGTATAAGTGAGCTCAAACTGAGTCAATGTTTAGAACCTTGCGAAACCTACCTACTTAACGATTCGATATACAAATTTTACGATATCTGACAACGCACAAGCTGATCTTATATATATACCAGAGATGCATAGAAGATGGAACAATCCGATTCTATTGGTGGTCAATTGAACATTGTGAAGATATACAAAATGAACAAACAGCTTTAACTTTATTTCAAGTAAATTTTTCTTTGTACAAATAGAGCAACAAGTTTTCATTTTGGATTTTTCCTTATTATATTGTAACAGAAAAAACAAAAACTTGCAAATATATTTTTTTATTTATCTTTTTAGTTTCTCTTGATTTAAATGATTATGTCGAAGTTGAATTTCATCAAACTCAAACATATATTCCATCAATGGATTATTTAAGTTTTGGTGAATGTAAACCAATGCGTTTATTACCAAAATTAATTGATGATTCACAGAATCAAGATTTACAAAAGTCATCAATTGTTCTTAAACGTGATTGTAATGTTGATGTTGATCCAAA